GAAGACCAATCCTTCAACACAAAATATTGGACAATTTGAAGTTCAGCTACACAGTTTTGAACTCAGTGGAGGAGCTGGTCAACAAAGAAAGTCTTTCATTAAAGCAAATGTCAGCCAAGTTTGCAATGCGTCTTTGATTAGCAAAAATGGCTTTACATGTTATGCCTCAGAGTGCTTCCTCAAGGTCCCATTTCCCTAGTTTTCTAAACAGGGGTTATTAACTTTTCACGTATCTACTCATTGTTACTGGGATAGTACTCTTCCTCCCTGGCTGTGCTGGTTACCTGGTGCAAAAATACCCATTTGCCAAGGCAAATACTTTTGTTGTCCATTCTACTTCCATATCATTTTATATTCTCTGTTTGATACAGTACTATCCTGCAAAGAAAAGACTGTATTTTTTGTATAGGTTTTTTCCCATTTGTATTTCCAGGCTCAGGCAGGGCAGAATTTGAAATTTGCATGGAAACTTCAGGTGGGTTTCTGAATACTCCTCCAAGCATCCAGACCTTTCTGATCTAGTGTTTGGCTCAGAGTACCATTAGTCAAATGGTTAAGAATAATTTTTGAAAAAAAACCCCAACTTCTTCAATAGCCCAGACTCAAATCCTGAAATGTTTATTATGTGAACAAGGAATCAAAGCATCCTGCTGTTAATATCACTCTTTTATCACCATACTTTTAAGTATAGCCATTATTTTCTGTAATTTACAGTGTCTTACACCCTGGAAAGCCAGTCAACTGTTCAGACAAGAGTGGCAAGGAAGGTTGACTAGCAGTTCTTGTCTCCAGGGATCCACTGATGTCATTGATTATGCTGTTGTATATAGAAGGAAATGAGGAAGCCACATTAGTTATAATTTGACCCATCATAGTGGAGGGTCAAAGAAAAATGAATGCCTGATGAAAATACCTGGAAACATTGGAAGGGAATAATTATTCACAAAGATCAGAATGAAAAAAACATGAAGAAGGCTCTGTATTTTCATTCGCTATAAATGACAGTACGGACTACTAAGTCTGGAGAGGAGTGACATATATTCAGACTACCTATTTTGGTCCATAATACAGACATAGATACTTAGAATTACATCTACCATAAAGAAAAATTGATGGCAGAATCAATCTTACTAGGCAGAGCCAGTAAGTCATATATGCATATACTTCGATGGCAATGACACACTGGGAAATGTAAACTGTGGTTCTGTAGACTGCCCAGGGAGCCAGGCAACCTTTGCTTCGTTTGCTAGCTGGTATCTTGAACTTAAACATCTGTTGGGCCATCCAATCCCATTTTAACCACTGTACTAGCTGGTCAGAATACCTCTTGCTACCACTAACCAGTTGTGTGACCAACTGCAAGTTGTGTGACCAACTGCAAAGTCTGTCAACAAAACTAGTGGAAAGTAATCCACTGCAATCTCTGCATGCTGATATAGGCTTGGCCAGGGATAATGAACTAATTCTCTCTGCGACTAAGACAAATGCTGGTAAAGCAGAGAGTGGTTTGCACTGATTTTCTTTTTTTTTCTTTTACTGTCTTTTTGTAGGAGACAGACTGACTCTGAACTGATCTGCAGTAACTATTGAATTTACACTTAAACAACTACCCTTTTTGAGAGAATGCAAAAAAAGCCTAACCTGGTGAATTTATCACTTTTTTTACATTTATTGTATTGCAGGAGAACTCAGGTGACACCGCAGATGAAATCATAAGAGAGTCCTCCACAAGAATTTTAAGGGACAGAAGTGTTCAATAGTAGGACATTTGTTTAAAGGCTCTTCGAAAAACCTCTCCTCCCTTCTTTTGGTTTTAGGTCTATTTTGAAACATAACATGGCTATTTTGCCCTTCTCCCCTTCTACTGTCACAATTTCTCTCTGGAAATATTTTTCCTCAGATAGGAGTGTCCTGTACAACAGGGAAAGAAAACATTTTTGCTCTTTTTAAAAAAAAATCAAAGTATTTCACTGTGTAATGAGACAGGGTCTGATGACATTTTCTAGCAGCCAGCAAATCATGCTGTCATGCATAGGGAAAAAGCCACTAAAATATCCCCAGCTAAAATATCACAAAATTATGTAGAGCTCAATCCTAGGGAGCCATCTGCCATGTGAAAGCTCCTTGATTTCTTAAGACGTTCATTGCAAGCAGGCTTGCAGGACTGGACGCATAATTTGTCCCTTTTAGAAACTGTAGCTGTTGAAAAGAAGCCTTCATCAAAAACACTTGAGTGGCAGAGGCTGCCTAAAAAAAAGTCTGTGAATTTGACTGGGCAAAAAAAAATCCCCACCACATGCCCTCAAAAGCAGCTTGTGTGCTGGCTGAAAATGCGCCACAACTACAGGTACAGAAATGAGATACCCATGAAAGGTCTGCTCCTGCCATGTGTATGCATGGAAATCTGCCTGCTGTCAGAGAGTCTTCTGTTCTGAAAGTGTGCAGATAAGATTCCTCTTCAGTAATCACCCTTTTTCTGAATTATCAGCCCTTTAAAACTGAAGGTAGGTAATGCCAGCCCATATGGAGGAATTTTTGACATACACTACACGTATAGAGATGTGTATATGTATAATGTTTTAGTATTGCCTTTTATTTTGTTAACAGATAAGCTATAGGAAATGGTTTGGTGAGCCCTGCCTTGGGACAGGGAGATGGACAAACAGTCTCTCAGGGTCCTCCTCCTAGCTCTGAACCTCGATGTGGAGGAAAGAATCTGCAGAGAGGCAGAAGGGGATGTGTTTTACAAATTGCAACCCGATGAGCTCTTCAACAGCATTAAACACCCATGGAGAATTACTATAATATAAATACTAAATGAAAAATCTTTTATGGCAGTAGTGAAAGCAAAGTCTTAGATATATATCTATAAAATAGATAAAATTCCATTAATTTTCAACTTGGGACAGACGGTATATTTGAATTTACAGACATGCCAAATGGTAAATTTGGCTTCCAATCTTTGAGATGTGGCTGATCTATTACGGGTGATAACAGCATATGCTACTTTCTGAGTCAGTTTCTGTTATGTCATGAGAAGCACCATCGCTTGTAATGGAAGATATTTTTACGTTAGCTAAATTGCCAGATGAGGTTCATAACATGGAAAATAGGTAGGCTCCAATGGTAGATTCAATATTTCAGATGGATGTCAAATTCAATACTGAGTAAATAAAGCAATGAAAGCAAATCTCACATGACAAATCAACATGGCATGTAGCTTGTTCAGATTTTTTTCTTTCACAATGTCAAAGGGTTGCATATCTTGACAACTTTCTTTAGCTGGTTGTGCCTGGGAGAATTAATGGAGACATTTGGCCTTTGTGGGTCTGTGTCCAAGCTTATATGTCCCAGGGAGGCAAGTAGCTACTTGAGATGCCACAGAGCAGCAGTGAACAGCTGAGGAATTGGAGCATCTGAGTCCAATTTGATGGAGCAGATGTTGCGTCCCGGCACTCCACAGCTGCCTCGAGGCTTTGTCTGGTGTCAGTCCTCTCCTAAATGATTTTTCATAATGAAGTTATGTGTTAATTGACACATAAAAATGTATGTTAATATAACATTAAAAACCTATCTTAAATTTACAAATGTGAGGGAACTGGAGGGAAGAAGAAAGCCTAACACTGACTGTCACCAAAACTTACCTGCTGTTTTCCATGGAGAAGAAACCACTGCCACTGATGCAGACAGACTTCACATGCCACAAAGTTAAACATTTTTTTTTTTATGGTACTTGCTAAAGGAAATCCTTTTTGACAACTGCATGGGCAGAGGCACCAACTCCAATGCCTCGTAAAAGTTTTGGCAGTTACTCCTGTCTTTAGGGGGTACTGCGGTATTAGAAGACTTTATTTACTTTCACCTCGTGTCCAGACCCGTGGCTCTGATGGAACCAGACTTGTTCCACCACTGACCAGGCCAAGCAGCAAGGTATTTCTCTTACTCCTTGCAGAAATATAGAGATGCTCCCCATTGTCCTTTCAGTGTTTCCACCATTTTGACAGCAGAAAGTTAAAATATAATGCTGGCCCTCATTTCAGACATAAACTAAGACAGCTCTTTCAATATATTAGCCCAGTTTTTGCCATATAAGATGAAAAATCCAAAAAAAATAATATTCTTCTCAGGCTATCAAGATTCAAATCTACAGTTTTACCTTCGGGGCAATACCCTACCTGCTATTGGGTGCAGATGCCTTCCACCAAAGCTGTACCAAGAAGAGTTTAAGCTTGAATTAGGCACTCTAGGGTAAAGAAAGACTGATTTAGTGCCTGGGGAAATATACAGGTGCCGAGCTCCAGGACAGCAATTCCTATTCCCAAGACAATTTATGTATTTAATGTTAAACCACCACTACAAAGACCAGATCCCAGAAACTTTACCTTAGATCACCAGCTCATGTCCTCTGTTCCTTTTCCTTTTGGTCCCAGTTAATCTTGTCCTCTTTTCTATGCAGCAGGGTAACATCCATAGGAAGGAGAAATCACAGAAGAGTGAAGGCACCTTCCTGAAGGAGGAACAAGAATCTGGACATCTCAGCTCTCTGAATGTTTTTTGAACCATGACAACACGTAAAAGGGCACAGAAAGCCTGAGCCTTCTCCAACCATCTTTTGATAACAAGCGATCCTTTTTACTCGTTAGCAGAAAAGTCCTCAATACCTACCTTCATGAAGTTGGGGCTGAGAAATGGAGGCTGTTGCACCATGGCTTCCACAACCAGGATGTGTTTTATATTTGAGCAATATTCACCTAAGACTGCCCAGATCCCATCTGCCTAGGTGCTTGTTTCCATATTGCTGATAGCCAGTGTTTAAGATTGCAGTATCAGCTGCATCAGCCTTTGCTGCCTGTCTGGAAAGGGGAGAAGTCCCTGCACAAGAGCTGGTGAGAAGCAGGGTGACAACCAGCATACGTAGCAGAACGGCAGGCTTTAATTGGCCAAAGTCATTGCGGTCCCCCAGGCACACAGACAGACTCAGATCTGAGGTTGGAAGGTACCTCCAACCTCCAACCGAATGAGGTTGGAGGTATCTCTAGAGACGATGCTCAGAGCAGGGTCAGCTATAGCAGGTTGCTCAGGGCCATGATCAGCTGGAGTTTGAATATCTCCAAGGATGCAGACTCTACAGTCTCTCTGATCAATCTGCTCCAGTGCTGGAACACCCCCACAGTAAAAGTAAGTTTGAATGAAATTTCATGTAGTTAAGTTTATTCCTCTTGCCTCTTGTCCTGTTCGTGGGCACCACTGAGAACGGTCTTGCTCTGTCTTCTTTGCTTCCCCATCAGTTATTTATACACGTGGATAAGATCCCCTTAAGCCCTGTGTTCTCCAGACTGAACAGCCCCAGCTCTATCAGCCCCTCCTCCTGTGTCAGGCTTCATGGCTTTTGCTGGACTCATTTCAGTATGACCATCTCTTTTACTAGGAAGCCCAGACCTAGGCTCAGTAGATTTTAGTGATCAGGTATTAATTTGTTTAAGCTCTCGGACCACACCTTCATGCACACAACCCAGACAGGCAGGATGTTGCCCTTCTATGCTGAGGAGCATGTAGAAAGCATTCAGCAGCTGTCCAAATCCGCATGAATGTCTCTCTCCTGATGCAATAATGCCTCTGTCTCGTTGCCCTGTGCTAAGTGGGTCACAGTAGGGCTCTGTGTAGTGCCTGTACACCTCTGTGGGTACCACAGTGCAGTTCCGAGGGTTCACAGCAGGTATTAAAGACATCTCTTTACTGTGCCACCTATTTTGGCACTCCCCTGCACAGACAGAGTGGTGGCCCACACCAAGGCACAGGGTGCCACGTCCCCATGAAACTCTATCCGCATCATTCATAGTGAACTGTTGACTAGTCCTCACTTACTGATTATTCTACCCTAGCCTTGAATTAATCTTTCAACTGAAAGTATTTCCCCTTAATCTTTCTCTCCTTTGGTTAACACGCTTCTATGATTCTATGATTCTACGATTCTAGTCCTATATCCTACATTTTCTTGGACATGTGCCATGAATGGAGCTGCCACTACCCCTGATGGTTCTTTACTAAGTATCTGAGTGGTGACATTCATGGAGAAGTGACTGAAGCGCTTTAAGCACAGTGTTTGCAATGACTGTCCATAACATGGAGGTGGTAATGCTCAGGCTACACCTGTTCCTCCTTATGGACCACCTGTCTCTCTGAAAAGGTGTAGTCTGTGAGGTTGAAAGAGGCAGATGTGAGCTTGCTTACACAGCTACTTCATGTTTATATGGATGAAACACCTATAAATGCTGCATTTTGTCTGAAAAAGAAATCTTACTCTAGAGACAAAAACAACCGCCTCTTTTATTGTTATGAAGTAATTGAAATGCTGTTAAAACCAGATTAGTAGGACTGATGTGGGGAAACTTTGTGTGAGACGAACTGCCCTTCTGAAGAAAACGACCTCGCATGTGGATCAAGGTCCTATTGGTGGCAATTTGCTCAAATTTTTATGGTCTGCCTCTCCTTCATCCGGCACCTCCATGCAGCCTGACATCTCAGCACCACCCTGTGCTCTTCTGATTTTTCATCCACGCACAATATCACACAGAGTCATTCCCTTGAGATTTCATTCCCCGTATACTCTCTTCCTCCGTCCCACTGCCCATCCCAGTTCCCTTCTCCTCCCCGTCCCGTTCACCACAGCCTCACAGCTCACCAGCATCTTAGCCTTGGTCTGTAGCTTTACATCTGCACCATCTTACATGTGGTTTGGTCAGTGCTGCACCCATCAGCACTTGTGCTATGCAATCTGCAGACCAGATTATCTCCTGATAGGAGGAAGGAATAAAGTGAAGAATCCCCTGGTCTGCAGAGCATCACAGGTCTTCTACAGTTCACCACCTCTGTTTCACGGCATTGGGAACTGAAGAGGAGAGGCACACTGGAGACCTGTGAAATGGGGGTAACAGGCCAGCACTGAACCTGAGCTATGATTGGCACATTTAAACATAATTTTACTACTGAAAATAAAATGAAAATGATCACAAATTGCAGATTTCAAATTTAATACTCCAAAACCTGTTTCAAATCTGGAAGCACTCCAAGACAAAAAAAAAAGAAAAAGTGTATTTTTTTTTTTAACAGTTAAGATTGCTCTCATTCTTTCAAAACATGTCTTCCTTTGCGGAGGTAGAACTTGGCTATAGGAACCAAGCTAAAACAGAAAGGAATGAAGTTCCAGAGATTTAAAAACAATTTCAGGGAAAGCAAAGAGAAAAAGGAACTTGAAGCAAAATGCTGAGCATGTTTGAAATTTTTAGTTTATACTGGAGGTATAAACTAACCACACTGGAGTATCAACTAGCAATTCCAGTACTATCACTACTAAATTCTCTTGGACAGGAAATGCCATGATGTTATTTTAAAACATATTTTAGAGGGACTTTACTAAAAGAGATCTAAAGACAGGAGGTCCATAGAGGTGGAATAATAAATAGGCTATAGATGTTACAGCAAAATAATGACCACTGATACCACAGGTGAGTTGGATCCTGATGCAGGGACAATGTTCAATGTCTAGTGTGTGGGGTATAGAATTAGACAGTCCTCCTCAGAACTGCAGGACTAACAAAACACTGCACTTCTCCCTTTGTCACAGAGAGCATGCAGGACAGATGTGATCTGCCAATTACTTTTTTCTCAAGACTGAACTGGCGAATATAATCTGCTCTGTCCTGCTTCCGTACAGAAGAACAAAAGACAGGCATCTTGTCCATGCCCAGTTCATAGGTGAATTTACAGCCTGTCCAGCAGTTTACAGACTGAAAAGATTGCATGAGGAACATGTGTGTATGAAAGTCAGTCAGGAATAGGGCAGATAATGGCAAGTGGAGATGCATGATGTACTTTGAGGTGGAGATATATAGCTACTCTTTGGGTAATACTCCTTTTCATTTCTGAAAATTCTTCCTGTCCTTAGGCTACCACAAATGATTTGTTACTATAATTACTACAGCCTGTTTGGGCTTCAAATGTTTGAAATAGCAAGTCATGCTTGAAAAAGCAGTCATGAGTTGAGAGATCATTCTTTCAGAAAAGAATGGTAAAGCATGGTTACCAGATGGCACAGAAAACTCAACTCAGTGATGGAGCAGGTCCTTTCCAGTCCTCTAATCCTAAAATCATATGCTTTTCCTATCAGTTTACTGGTTAACTTACCCCAGAAGCTAGCTGCAAGTGGTACAAATCTTAAACTATCCAAGGGATGTTATATGTCACTCTGTGACACTCAGCCACTTTGCCTGTGGATTAATAGAGACCTCAATTCCTGAACTGATGAGGAACAAGTATTTTTAAAAATACTACCTAGATTTACAAATAACAGTTTCATATATGCTTATGGCTTTGTTTGTATAATGTCTGTGATTTGTTCCACAAGCAAAAAAATATACAAAAAAGTACCTTCAGAAAAAATTACAACTACTAATTGTAACAATTAAGAAATCAAATAATTTTGTATCTCAAATGGAATACAAGACAGCGTATCCTATTAGTGAAATATATTTTATGGGATTTAAGGGAATGTGCGGGGTGCACTTTAATTCAGCGTTGTGGAGTTTTTAAGAATTACTAAGATTTGGCTGCATTTTTAAACTGTGACAGCAACACAATCAAAGCACAATGGAGATAAAAAGTATTTACCATATCCAAGCCAGTCAGAGAAACAACACAGAGTTTTATGAGAACCTGTGCAGCATTATAACCCACTCCCTCAGTTCTCCTTAATACTTAACCACTTCAATGTATTCAGCACAAAAGAGCTCTCTATTGGAAAACACATCATAAAAAAGTTAACCAAACAGCCACTTCTCTGCTTTTGCATGTCATGCTCTCCAGAAATGCCATAGAGCCAGAAGATTCCCGTTAGGGAAGAATTTGCTCCTCAGGATACCTTTAAAGTCTGTGGTAGGAGCTGATCTTGGACTTCTGGGCACCTGTTCTGGGAAGGAATAGAATATGATGTTGCTCAGCCATCTCACTCCAAAGCAGTTTCCTTGCTATTGTGTGAGCGTAACTGAGAAACGTAACTAGAAAATAGCCTTTATCATTAACAATATAATTAAGAATACTTAGATGCATAGCATCTAGGAGTTTATGGCACTGCAAATTGTTCATACTTTTGCAAGCCACTGTAAAATCTAAAATGTAGATGTTGCATAAATTTTTGCACATGCCTTCATAAACTACTAGGCATGAAAAATTAAGGTGCTACTTTCAAGGCCAAATTTTTAAAGATATATAAATCTAGTTTCCATTAATGCCATCACAGTTATTGGAGAGCTGGAAGGTTTTATGCATAATTTTCTCTCTTCTGGGGTAAGCCACAGACTGGATATAAGCAATACCATCAGTACATGCAAACTGGATATGAGGTGCACCATCTGTAGATACAAGTGACAATTGAAAAAGATGTATTCAAATGACTGTAAATGCATAGTGGCAACACTGGAAAAAGAAGTCCCAATATTTCTGTCTCTCTTACAGAGGTAAAAGTATCTGTTAGATGCCATACTCCCTTAAGAACTCTGAGGAAGTCAAACTTCTGAATGTAATGCAACTTTTCCTAAATGTTGAGGTTGGAGAAGGCAACATACCTCATTACAGACTGGTTAGTACACAATGTAAGGGAAAAAAGCTGCTGAGTATTGCAGTAATGAGGGCATTTTCCTCATTCTACATGTAAATTGTCTCATATTCAAATTTATTTCTGTATGAATTTATTGTTGCATATGCAAATACACAGAATTGAAACAAGAAAAAAAATAAATGCATTGTAAAACATATGGAAACATACAGATTATGTGATCTTTATTAAAATCCATCTTAATGATGAAAGCACCATTTAGCATCCGCTCTGGAACTACACTCCATTTATTTACGAGACACTACTTTCTGTAGACAAAGAAAGTATCTTCCAAAAATAGGAGTGCCATATTTTCAAGGCATACTGTGTATTTTATTTTTGTAACTAGTAAATGTCAAACAGTATTCATACACAGTACTGACGCATTAATGTTTTCATTCAACAGTGAAGATACCCTTCCTTATTACATTATATTTTTATGGCACACAGAGCTGTCAAATAAATTACATGAAAACAGCTAAAGCAAGACCTTGTGACACCTGAATC